AACGGGCATACAAGAAATGTATCTCAACATTACAATGGCCACTAATAATAAGCCAACAGCTAACATCATACTGAAGGGGGAAAAGTTGAAAGCTTTATAAGATCTGCAATAAGACAAGAATGACCACTTTCACCACTTTATTCAATATAGTGCTGATAGTCATAGCCAGAGTAATAAGCTAACAGAAATAAATAAAGGGCATTCAAATTAAAAAGAAGTCAAATTGTTACTGGTTGCAGATGACGAGATATTTTATATAGAAAACCCCAAAAACTCCACCAAAGTTTAAAAAAAACAAACCTATTAGAACTGATAAACGAGTTCAGCAAAGTTGCTAAGTATAAAGGCAACATACAAAATTCAGTAGCATTGCTATATATCAATCACTAATTATAGAAATAGAAATCAAGAAAGCAATCTCATCATAGTATAAAAAACACTAAGGAATAAATTTAACCAAATAGATGAAAGATATTTACAATGCAAATTATAAACATTAATAAAACATAAATATGAAAAAACTGAAGGCGACACTAAAACGTGGAAAGAAATCTGCTACAGATAACAATAATGTACTGCATACTTCAAAAAGCTAGAAGAATTTGAACGTGTTCACTACTAAGAAATGGTGTAAAGGTTTGGAGTTAAGGATGTAACCTGATCTGAATATTATATAATGTATTCATGTACCAAACATTACATGGTACCCCATTATATATTCAACTTTTATGTTTCTTTTAAAATAAGTTTAAAACAACTAATAAAATTTGGATAATTCTTTTTTCATTAAAGTAGAATTATATGCATTCAATTTCTGAAAATTTTTGGTGTGTTTATCAATCCATTCATTCCTTATTTATTTATTCTTTTATTTACTCTTTTTACTCATTTACACAACATATGAAATAGCTATACTATGTGCAAATCCAAGACTTAAGAAATCCCCATATAACTTGAAAGGTGAAAAAAAAGAGATTGTGTGTTACATTTAATTCTCTGATTTTTGCAGTTATAAATGAGGGAATAAATAGTATTCCCATGTGAATAGCCACTTACAAATCAGAAAAGTCTGAGTAGAAGTCAGACCTTTCCAACTCCTAAGCTTGTACTCATAATTGCCACATGCCACTTACCAAAAGAGACTCTTCAGAGAAAGACCCAGGGATGCAGTGAGACATGGGTCCTGGAGGACTTCAGCTGGCATGGCTGCCCCTATGCCATAGAATAGTTCTGCCCTTGCATAGGGGCAGTGCCTTTCAATTCCTGCTGCCCTCAGCCACCCATACGCCCCAGGACACCTGTGAACTTCTCTGACCACAGTGCTAGGGTAAGATGTGGGAAAATACAAAGATCTGAACTTTCTCAACTATGGCTTTTGGTAGCGAAACCAAGTTAGATTCTAGGATCCATCAAGGGAGGATTCAAACCTACACAATTATCCCCGCATCAAACCAGTCTCCAATTGGCCATATGCCATGGTTGAATTCCTTAGGTAAAGCCTGTAACCAATTCTCAGGCTAACCTTGGGGTGGGTCAAGAGAAAACTGGCTCAGCTTTCAGGAAAGAGTGTCCAGCCAGCTGAGGAGTCACATAACCTTGTACTTTGTTCAGTTCCCGAGTAGACCAGGAACAGGGTGGCCTTGGGGCTCTAAGGTGCTTTCTCAGAGGATTCTCGCCCTAAGTGTTCCTCTGTGGACTTGCACCAAATTGGCATTAACCCGTGGGAAGGTTTTCTTTTTTTTTCCCTATCTTTAAAACCTACATTCCCTTGGCCACATAAATCTGGGATGGTAGTCAAAATCAGGGCCGTAGAAGCCTCACTGCTCTGTAGACCCTCGTGAGTCACTGAGATGGTCACAGAAATCCCCATGTGTAACATAGCCTGCAGAGCCCTGGTCATGGCATGTTCCTTCCCCACAGGCTGTGTTAGCTGTGTGGGCCACGGGGTCACCACTGTGAGGTGATTCCTGTAGCTTCCATGTTAAGGCTGCTCTGGCTTTGCCTAACCCTGAGATTGGTTGCTGGGGACCTCAGAACTGTAGGATGTGCATGGCCACCTTGTGTCATGTGTCATGCTCAGCCATTCTTCATCTTCACTAGCCATTTCCTTTCTCATCTAGCCAGACTCTTTACGTCACCTATGTATCTGTGCCATATCACCAGCCACGGAGACATGTGTCTTACACTTGTGTTCCCACATTCACATCATTTTCCAGGTGGCAGGGATATCAGGTAGCCCTTGACCCTGCTGTTATTACACTCTGACCTACAGATCACAGAACACAGAGGAGATCTTCCCCGCCCCCTCTCTGTCACCAGCATCCATTTGCCTCAGTGCTGACTGTTAGGGCAGGAGTCTTCGTCTTAGCTAAAGTTGTTCCAATGTGTTCTTTACCTACTCATTCTCTCTCCTCTCTCGTTTCTCGTATCTATCTCTCTTTTCATCATAGCTTTCTCTTCTGTGGGCCCTGAAAATGTTCCTAAAAGTAGTGTGAAACAGCCGGATATAGAGGTACACGGATGTAATCTGAGTGGCTCAGGAGGCTGAGGCAAGAGGATCTCAAGTTCAAAGCCAGCTTTAGCAATGGTGAGGCACTAAGCAATTCAGTGAGACCCAATAAAAATACAAAATAGGGCTGGGGTGTGACTCAGTGGCTGGGTACCCATAAATTCAATCCCTGGTCCACCCCCCCAAAAAA